TTCACTGTGAGGTTAGGTACCGTATTTTCGCGACTATAAGGCGCATATAAAAGTCTTTTTTTCCCCTCAAAATGTGCGGCGCGCCCTATGTGTGTTACTACGGACGTTGTTGAGACCGCCATGAGAACGTTAAAGGGGGAAGTGTGGGCGTGGACTGTAAATAAAAGAATTGCTGTTATTCCGGGAGGTCTGACAAAGGAACTTCAACCGCTCGACATCGGTGTGAACCGGCCGTTTTAAGTAAGGCTGCGAGCGGCGTGGGAGCAATGGATGACCGACGGAGACCACAGTTTCACGAAAAGTGGAAGGCAGCGCCGGGCAAGTTACGCCACAGTTTGCGGATGGATTGTTGATGCTTGGACTAACGTGTCTGCTGGCACGGCATCATTTCCGAGGAGCCGCACGGCACGGAAAGTGACTCTGACAGCGAAGAAGGGGAAAATGGCATGTCTGATTTAGTACAGCTGTTTAATTCAGAAACAAAGGATGATGACTTTGATGGGTTTAATACTTTGTAATTAAATATGCAGTAGAGGTATTTAAACATAGTAGAGGATATGTACCGGTATATTAAAACCCGCGCCCTATAATGCGGTGCACCTTATGTGTGTGTTAAATACAGTAATGGCACACATAACTGAGACTGCACCTTTTAGTACGGTGCGCCTTATGGTCGTGAAAATACGGTAATCTTTCAAAACAGACATCAAGCCAAGAGAAGTTCTCTCTTATTAATTCAATGTGTCTGTACTCCTTCTCTCTGCTGCTTTTTCATTATCATCATCATCATCATCATCATCGTTATCATTTATTTCTGTTCATCAGCTTCCTAAATGGTGCTAAACAGATGTTTTAATGGATTTAAGAGGTCCTCGTGTTCAAAGTGTAACACTGAGTTCAGACTTTACAGAGATTAAGGCTGTGGATATTTCAGGCACAGCAAAAAAAGACCACAATAGAGACGCAGTTGTCAAATGTACCAAAATGTTTCATAAAGAAGAGGAATGAAAAAAGAGAACAAAAAAGTAAAGATCTGAAAAGGAGGTTGGATTGGCTTCAAAATCACTGAAACTTGTTACTTGTCACAAGAAAATTAGGAATAAAAAAGCTCAAACAAGTTCATTATTAATAAATCTTTATGCAAACACTTCCTGTATATATACACAGCAATACAAGCTTTGCAAACGTTTTTGAAAGCATCAGCTATTTTGAGAGATAGAAGGAAAATAACAGCTGGTTTCAACATCTCAAAAAATATATAATAATAGTCTGAAATGCTATTTGCATCTCCCCCCACCCACCCACACATTTTTAGCAAACAATTTATGAAACCAGATTTTATCATAATAACAGCTGCAAAGGCACTTGCTGTACGGGTTTTTCAGTTTTATGGTCGGCTGGATATTGACAAATCTAGAAACGGTATTGAAAGCTCTTATTTGCATTTCTGCCGGTAGCTTTTTAGAGGACACAACTAAGAGGTGTCATGTCATCAGATTTTCCTCATCTGATCACATCCGGTCACCATTCCCCTCATGGCTGATGCTCTTCTCGTCCAAACTGTCCTTGCATCTGGACATCCGTATCTTAGTAGATTTGCAGTTGTGCCATCCCCTTAATTATAGGACGGTAGATTGGACATCATGCAACAAAGGTTGGGACAGTGTCTTCTTATCCGGTGTAAAACTAGCAGTTATTTTTTCCTCTAACTCGGTGATTCCCAACCAGGGGGTACTCGTACCCCTAGTGGAATGCAAGGTGTACATGAAAATATGTTATTTTTATGTAGTAAAATAAAATAGGTCTGGGGTCTGTTTTGCTTTCTGAGGAGCAAATTGAAATATTAAACAAGTTTTTTACTAAACAAATTTAATCTGAGTTCACCTTCAGCTTTGAGTCTCATCCAAACCAAGCAGAGGAACAGACTGGATGTAGAGAACAGCCGTTTTCACACCGAGCTATCGGACCTCATCAAAGCAAGTTCAGGTGTCTTGATGAAAACAAATAAAACTAAGTCAGTCTGACTATAACTTTTGTTCACAATTCATCAAGTTTAAATTATAAAGGAGTTACTTAGAGGAGCTCCAGTTTTATAAATATAGGTTTATAATAGGATGTTATTTTGTATTTATTTCGATTCCTCACCAATTTCCAGGTAACATATTAATGTTGTTTTTTATTTGCGATGGAAAGAATAAAATGTCTAAAAATTAAATGCTCAAATTAAAAGATAAAGTAAACTGTTTTTAATTTTATAATCACTTATTGTACGTCCCACTTTTTTTTTTTTTTTTTTCATCAGTAGGGCTCGAGGCAGTTTAGTTGTAGCTCGGTTCTCAGATAACAAAGAGCGCATGAGCAGACCGCGTCATCTCCTTACAGTCAGCCTCCATATTCATGAAATTTCAGACATTCATACCATTACTAGCTTCTCTACCGTGCCACACGATTTAAAGTGATGATTCTGCTTAGCAGCGAGATGAACCTCAACGTCTGTCGTTGTTTCCTGCATCTGAAAGCCCTGATTAGATTATCGTTTGCCGTATCCACTTCCCAAAAGCCGACTCTGTCAAGTAAATTCACCAAAGGCTGCCTTTTTCGCCTGACTCTCTACAAACTTCCTGAATGTTACGAGCGCCACCATGTTGATTTGCTTGTTTACCTCTAGAGAGCAGTAATACCGTGGATCGTCACTAGGAGGCGAGGTACCGTGCTAGCATGATGTGTAAATGACCGTAATGAACCAAGCTCTGCACTATTAACTGATTCAGGCTCGCATGGATCGGTTTTCGGAGGGTAGTGTAAATTGGACTATTAGACCTTCTTATTTCCTGTTCATGTCAGACTAAAATTAAAGAACTCACCAAACTAATGTCTCTGGTTTCTCTGAGTTTGACCTAGAAAGAAGAAACTCAGAATACACAATAAAGAGTAAAATTCAAATGTCCGTCATACCTCATAAATTTCTCCATAATTTCCTCCACCCACATCTGCAGCCGTATGAAGCTGATCCCGTAGCGCCACCACAGGCGGAATAGGTCCAACAGGTACCAGTCGGTCTCCTCCAAAATCACCTCTTCGCCGTTAAAAACCGCCGTCTTTCCCGCTACATTCCGGCGATATTTTAAACCTTTCAGCAACAAACATAGAAATGGATGAGCGGCGGAATCAAAGGGGAGATAAGAAGACAGGAGTAGAATTTTTACAAAAACTACTTCCTCCATTCCTACCTCTTGTCTAAACTCACCCAGCTGTTTGACAAACTCCTGCATGTGCAAGTTAAGGGAGTGAATGATGGAGCCTCCAGACTCGTATTCATTGTTGTTGACCGTCACGGTGGCCAGACGGCCTCCGACCTCGCCCTTCTCGAAGACGTCCACCTGAACCTCCGGGCCGAAGTGTTGTCGAAGGAAATGGGCCGTGGCGCTGCCTCCTATCCCTGCTCCAACCACAGCTGGAGAGCACAGAAGAAAAAAAATAATAAAAGACCTTTTAGAACCTTAAAATTGAGTCCATTTTGCTCAATAAATATCAGCATAGACCGTGAATAGAAGGAAATATACTCACAGTATCTGCTATATTTAAAAAAACAAAAACAAAGATGGTTTTAATGATAACTTTATTGAGACCTTTAATTGTTACGACGCTGTGAAATAGTTCAAATCACCGATCAGATTTTTGGTCACACTTAAATGTTTCAGATCAAACTACTGACAAAGTCTCATTTTATGAAATCTAACCTGTAAAACCCTAAAAACTAGTTCGGCCACGGCTGTGGGACAGTATTTTTTGTTATGACATAAAGTTTTCTTTTCTTGTATCAGCATGGGCCGTCCTAGACAGGGGTCATCTTATTTCAAGAGGTTAATATGTCATTACCTTATTCAAGGGCAACAATACTCATTCCTCTGACAGAGGATCTTATTTACCTGCTCAGTTTAATGGCAAATAGCATTAATTTAAGACAATTTTACTTTCTAATATCAGTTTTTGCAGTGTAATATGAAAATTATTTCTTCTAATGATATGTGCTATTTTTAGTCGAATTGATTACTGCAA